TTGTACACTGGCCATATTTCTGCATGTTACGGTGCGTGATGTGGCGTGTAATTACAGCGCTAATGAAGCTTCGCATGAAGTTTCGTGTGATTTTGTCAAATCATTGTTCGTTATATCGTTTGTAATTTATACATAAATATCGTCTGCTTATGCAAATACGTTCGCGAGCCACTGTGTGTCGCGTAATTCAGTCTGAGATTAAACGTAGTCGAACTTTTTTCTAACGCAATTGCTTAACTTCCAAGTCGTAAAATTTCGCAACGACGCCCACGCGAGACACGCCGTATACACAAGAACAGAAAAGAGAAGATGTAGAAGGAGGAGGGAGGGAGTTGGAAGTAAACGACACATCTGTTACAAACTCCTGGGTCGTTTCCTTGACTTAAATTTCGACTAAGAAACGGAGGCAAGTATTTGAAACTGTGCCCAGTCCCACTGGATGCTGACCTCGTTCGTCACTGCATAAGTTACACGCGAAACACAGTTGGTCAAATACTGCTCTCTCTCTGCCTCTGCTACTTCCGTGTACTCGGTGCACGATGAATCCTGACGAGCAAGAAAATTGCTTTTTAGTAAGTTTGCTAACTGCACGAAGGATATAATCCCTAAAGACGCAATCTGTGCCGTTGGTGGAACGGACAGCTGGCTAACACTTGCCACGTACCACTACGTGACCATCGTTCCGCCATTAATGGAAGAAAAGGAAAGCTACGTTACTTATTTCTCGTCTATGTGGTGAAAAATCGCCGGTCGTTTCGTGATCGACCGATAGAGAAACACGTGTCACGTAGTCGTGCGTTGTCTTCTCATGGGATTATATGGGAACGTGATATTACGGACGAAAACGTAACAGCGTTGCACGCTTGTCGAAAGTCAGGTGAACGCGAGACTCTCATTCCACCAGCAATGTTCCCTCGTATCTTGTATCGCCGATTTTTAAAGCAAGATCGAACAGTAATCGTCGAAACTTATGATCGGCAATTCGAAGAATTAGAAGCAACGTTAATACGAAGATGATCGATAGCAAGCAGCGTACAGCGGGTCGAAGCATCGTTAGCGGAGATTTCATTAGCGTTGCAACGAGTGGCGCCTTGACTGTATGAAAATTTAAAAGCAATCGGACGACGTGTACGGAAGTCGTTCGCTGCGAGTGTACATTTACGACCATTAAGTTGTTGTAACTTTAAAATGAACAGAAATTTCATTGCTCGCTACATCCAGCGATTCGAATGTTCTACTCGACTCTCAATTTTCTGTCCGCGTACAAACGTTGTAGAAACAGCAGTCTACTTGCGAACGGTGCTTATCCAACGTATTAGGTTGTCCGGAAAGTGTCTTTCTTCCGCAAACGTGTTTTTTACAACAGTGCAGCTTCGTACAAACGTGAAACCAAGTCTGCGAGATGTCGTGGTGTTTATCTCAACAGAACAAAATGAATCGTACGTAATTCGTACTAAAAACAACCTGATATTAAGTTGTGCGAAAAGTTTCTTTCATTTTATATGGAAATAATAGATGCACAATATTTTTTCCTTTTCTACTATTTTATCGAACTATGTACGATCCATTTTCTAGTAACAGAGCGAAAACAATGTAAAAAAATAAATAAATGATATTGTTTTAATACATATATAGTATAATATGTATATAATATTGTTTGTAAATATATTGTTTTCGCTCTATCAGTATAAAATGGATCATACATAGTTCGATAAAATAATAGGGAAGGAAAAAGTATTGTGCATCTATTGTCTCCTTATAAAACGAAAGAAACTTTTCCTACAACCTATATACAGGATGGTTGGTAACTGATGGTAGAAACGAAAAGGGGGCGATTCTACGCGAAAAAAGAAGTCGAAAATATAGAATACAAATTTTTCGTTCGAGACTTTGTTTTCGAGAAAATCGACTTTGAATCTTCGCTCGGTACGCCTGCACTTTATCGCGTCTCGTTATAACGGATCTCACTGTGTAGATCGTTGTCTCGATGGAAAAATTAAAGAAAAAAATGTTTATTCTATATTTTCGACTTCTTTTTTCGCGTATAATCATCCCCTTTCCGCTTGTACCACCAGTTATCAACCACCCTGTATATTTATTTATTTATCCCAAAAATGTGTATGTTAAAGGACCTAACTAAAATACACGAATTGCTAATTTTACTTGAAACAACTAAAATATCCAACGTATGTACGCTTTTGAACGAGGCTGTACAACACGGGAAACAAGAGAAAATCATGTAACAAGAAACACATTGCCGGTAAACCCACAAACTAAGAAAACGAGCAAAGCGACGTATTAGTACAGAAAGCAAGTAGAAGAAGAAGTAGAAGGCGAAGAAGAAGAAGAAGAAGGAGGAGGAGGAGATCAAGGTGTGTCGTTAACCGTGCGAAGAGCGGCTTTAATCTGACCACAGGCTGTTTCATTAGCGGTCCCGTCGCTGTTAATCCCGGCTAGGGTTGGAAGAGAGTGACGGGGGGTAGTTGTACGGACAACGGTGGCAGGAAAGGGATCTAGAGACCTACAGGAAGAAGAAAGAGAGGGAGGCGGTAGAAGTGCCGTATCGCGAACTCACCGGGGAACAAAGCTTCCTCTATATCAGTTTGCGTTACCTGAGATGAAATTGCTTCGGTGGTGTCCCGGCTCCGGATAAAACGAGTACAGATACACAGGCCAGCCCTCTCGATGCATAAAACGAGAAAATAAATTCCTCCGGTCTAACTTTCCAAACTTTCCACCCCTCTTTTTATTTCCTCGTAGCTTATTTCGGACGCCTGGTGTAACAGGGGTGGAAATTAACCCTTTCGAGCTCGATCATTGTAAATTTAACGACGCGAAATGCGTGAATTATCCGTTCTCGTAGGTTCCACGGGCACGTGAAAACGCGTTTTGTATTTTTAAGGCGAAGAACGTCCCACGAAGAACGCCTTTCCGTATCAGACGATGATAATTCTACGACGATGATTAATCGATAACCACACGCTAAATAAAGGGAAGAAAAAGAGCAAGGAGTATAGGAACTAGCGAAGGAAGGAGGATACGAGAAAGAAAATACGGAAGAAGCTAGACACTGAGAAATTGAAGAAACGCGTAAGAGGCTTCAATTTGTAGATATTACTATTTTTTATTCATTCGATATGCGAAAGAAAACGTGTTGTTAATAGGACGATATACGATACGAGAATTTCTATATGATCTTGTAGCTTCGCTTCCATGAACGTACATAAAACCCATCGAAAAGTCCCATAGCTGCTTATTCGAGCCCTGCTTATAAGTATCACGAAGTAGTAGAGGTACGGTATCGATCTGTAATTCGTCAGACACGTGTGCGAAAGTTTGGACGAATTAGCAATCCTAATGTCCAAGTACGCTTCGAAGGCCGAAATTAATAAATCGTTATTATACGTTCCTATGGCTAAGACCGATAATATCGCAAATTCTATCACTGAGACTAATAATATCACAAATTGAAGAAGACGTTCATAAGAAAAAAAAAGTAAATCATAATCGTTAACCGAGCAACTTGAAAATTACTTCGAGAGCTAGGAAGAAGAAAGGCTGCGTATTCCGAGTACGTGTCTAGCACCCGGAATTCTCAAGACAATACCATCCTCTCAGACTGTTTGGTCCCCTGAGTTCCGCCGTTCCTCGCCGCACTTCCGCTTCTTTGAAGTCCACTTAATAAATAAAGCAACCTGGTCCTGGTCGCAGTTTCTCCTCGAAAGGGTTCCGGTTCCATGTGCCTCGTAACTCTTGGTCGCTCAGCCTCGGCCACGTAGAAGGAGGATCGTGCTCTGGACCAATATGTATCACGGTATCGCAAGGTTGCTTGTACAGCGGAATAGCGCAGTAATTCGCCGTGACTCGTGTTTCATCGCGAACCTTCTGGCCTAGGCTGCTCGCCTACAAAGTGGCCTAGAGATATGGATGTACCTCGGCTGCAATGGACGAAGCACACGTTTCCTATTCACCGGTACGAACCCGGGGATAATTTCGGGTCAAAACGGAATTAAATCAGCCGCCTACAGTGGCCTTGGTTATGCAGCGTGCGTTGGATATCACGGACGTGACGTTGAAAGTGTCAGAGTTTCTGTTTGATCCTCTTAAGCGACCCCTTTTTCTTTGTACAGGCCATCTAGAAAATTAATTTCAGGCTAGCTTTTGGTACGTTCGCTGTGTACTCGGCACGGATCGCGTCCCTACGTCGTGGTTTCAACGAAGAATTTTTCGAATAATTCACGCGCTAGGCAAATATGCGAAGTTGAGCGATGTTTCGAGGATAGTGCGAGTTTGATAAGATAGAGGAGGTTTCGTAAAGAACCTCTTTTCTCCACAATTCGTTTATGAATTTCTAATCAAAATATTTCCAAGTGCTCTAAAAGGAATCTTACGGTTCGTTCGTGTCGTAATTCCCTGAATGGAAATCGTTTTGGACAAAAGCGTCGTGGACGCGGTACACCGGTGCTCTGATCTCGTGTTCGCTGACGTTTAAAAAGGACGAAGAACAGAGTGGGCCAGTACACGAAGAATTTCGATTACACGAAGAGATCAAAGGCGGAAATGAACGAGTTTCGTCGCGGCCTTCGCGCTTCTATAGCGTTTAATTAAGAGAACGATGATTATGAGCTAGGAACAAGTAGAAAAGCGGACGTATGGAGAAATCGGGAAGAAAACTGAGGAAGAAAGATAATATTCCTTGATCCAGTAACTGTCTCTCTTTTATACACTGAATTTTACAACTGTCCTTTGCTCGTAGTCTTTGTACAAAGATATACAGGGTGGTTGGTAACTGATGGTACAAGCGGAAAGGGGGTGATTCTACGCGAAAAAAGAAGTGGAAAATATAGAATAAAAATTTGTCGTTTGAGGCTTTGTTTTCGAGAAAATCGATTTTGAATTCTCGCTCGGTACGCCTGCACTTTATCGCGTCTCGTTATAACGGATCTCACTGTGTAGATCGTTGTCTCGATGGATATTATCGCAGTTTAAGTTTGTAACGGAAAATTAGGAATACATAATGAAATAATACGAAGTAATCATAAAGTTTATTATTACAAAAATTGCTGAAAATGTTGCCCATTCTGCCGAACACGTACTTCTGCTCTTCTAATTAAATTTCTATGAACACTTTCTAACGTATTCGCTTGTTTTAAAGTATGAAAGGCTACAATAATCTTTTCTTTCAATTGCTCGCAACTTGCGATTTCTTCAGAATAGATAATTGATTTAATATGGCTCCATAAATAAAAGTCAAGCGGAGTTAAGTCAGGAGAGCGTAGTGGCCAAGCTGTTGTATCGTATTGTATAATAGAAAATTGGAAATTTTTGCATTTTTGTAATTGCCATGTGTACCATCGATGAAACGAAATTTCTATTCGGCTACGCAAATAGTTTCGTAGCTTTTTGCGAGTCTGCGGCTGGATTATTCTGCGTATAATACACGGAGACGATGGGAATTGCATATTTGTGTCAAGAAGCGATCGATACTTGCGCGAGGGTCGTGCAACGTTCGTTGAATAACAGGAGAAAATAACAAGAATACTCGATACCGCCTTTTAATATTCGCCTGTAACCGCGCATGATTCAGAAGAGGATTAACCCGGAATGAAATTCAAAGCCGGATATTATTCGAAAACTGTGCGTATCGTATCTCGAAGCATATGAATATGTATAGACGGATGATCTTCGACCTTGGCTGGATGCTCGTTGTTTTATGATCGAACGCTCAAGCATCGCTTATGATCGTCGTTTCCGTGGGATTAGGATTTTTATTGGTTCATTTATGGATGGTCCGAGCTGGTTTTTTCCAACGACTCGTCACTTTTATTACGAGTTTCTTTTATCTTTCCCTTTTCACTTCTCCCTGGATATCATTTACCACGAGAAAACGATGTCACGGATAAAAGAGTGAGTCGAATTAACCGCGTCAACATCGGGTTACTTCTTTCTTTTACGAACACCACGAACGATGTACGTACAGACAGAAGCGGAAATTCTGAACGTGACTTCAAAATGGCAATGGAAATCAAATAAACTCGGCACTTGATCTTTCGAATAAAAAACAAAAGACTAGGTAGCCAGAGACCGCGTAGCCATAACCAGGCTTAGGATCAATCACACGGAATACATAGTTACAGCCACCTAATGGATAAATCAGCGAGCTAAAATCCAATATAAAGAAAATATGTTCCGTACACCCTTCGAAATAACGCGCCTGACACTGTCCTGAGAAATCTTTTCACGCAGCTGAAAATAAAATACTTAGATGCCCCCACTTAACCGAAACACCCTGTATATTCACCGGGACAGAAAGAAAGAGGGAAAGTGCGCGAGTATTCGGTTTACAAAGTACAAGCAGAGGCTGGCAACTGAAAGAAGAGGGAAGGGGATGAAAGAGCAGCAGAGCCTGTTTATTCTGTAGGATACGGCAGAACCGTTTCTCTTCCAGCGACGCAGAATGGGATACTAATTCGAGCAGGCAGGGTGGTTGCAGGATGGTTGGGACTGGAGGCGTGGTGAAGGAGAAGCGGCGGTGGCGTGAAAAGGGCCACGGACG